CTGCAGAAGGAGCTGTAATAGCAAAGGATGAGGTATGCCCCGAGGCCGGTGGCTGCTGCGGCGAACGCTGCGCTGCAGAAAAGCGTGGTCCCACAATTGCCACTGGTCTGCCTGATCGGCGAGGCAAGGGACCGGGCGGTCCACTTCTCCAATGATCGCCGCCGGCTGATACGAATGCTCGACGAACGACGACTCCGCAATAATGAAGACCGACGTCCGAGTGAAGAATAGCGCTCACTTCTTGAGCTTAAGAGCAGTTTCTCCATGTAGGCAGTGCAGCAAAGCGACGAACAATGGACGTCGTTTCTTCCTCAGCCTTTTTCTTCTTCTTGTGAAGAGCACGAACAAACAGAATGGTATGGTAATATTGTCAGTACATTTAAAATATTATTAATTTATTTATGAACTCTATCTAATTCATTTATTTATATAAAAACTTTATTATTCCGTTACCTATACAACATTGTCTTAAAGAGACACCGAAGTTAGTACAAGTATTTTTGCCTCCTTATCGATTATCTGTTTCCTATATTTCCCCCCTGTTTCTGTTCTCTCTCTTTCTTTTATTTTAGTGTTTAGAATTCTTATTGATTTTTTCGCAAATTCTACTGCCACATGTTTTGTGGCAGATGCCCCATGGTGAGTTGTACCATTCCTCTGCAAATCATTATTATCATCATCATGGCACCACCGCGAGATAATGAACGAACTTCAGAGTTACTACCACAACTACGGGCTGTCCAGAGAGCCGAGCACACAATGCGACGGTGAGGCTAGGCCTCCGCGTTCCTTCATGGGAGCGGCCCACGACGTTGCTCTATAAGAGTGGCGTTTTTCAGGACTCAATAATGTTCTTTGTCTGTCTGTCTATCTATATTGTTCACTTATGTCACCGCCATAACTATCGGCTGAGGAAGAAGAAAGGTAGTGCAGCAGTGCAGCAGTGATGAAACATAGAACGAAGTAACTGCTAACTGTCTCTTTCTGTAGAGTAGCGGCCCATGTTTCTTGTAAGGCAGTGGGAGACGTGCATTACGCTATTTTCACGTGTTCTGTCGACCGTCTTCTCCTGCCCCCGTTGACGCGTTCTGTAAGCCACATGGTGCCGCACTAATTTCAGTGTTATGACACTTTTTTGCCATAATACGATGTCATGTAATGACGCCCACGTTGTACGTCATCTTATGGTGCCACAATTTTTAATGATCTGTGATTTCGTCATTGTGTCGCATGATAATGTCACAATTATCCGTTCCTTCTTCGTACGTTTCGGAGAATGTCACATGGTGTTTTCCACCACGTTTCTCGCCAGCGCCATTTGGCTGAAGGTCACCGCGCAACGATCCACTTGATGGTTTCCGCACAAATGAGCGGCTAAAACAGAAAAAATCATAATTTTTAGTGTTTCTTTCAGTAGGCTTCGATCGAGATCACCGCGTCTGAAACAAACTTCCTGCTGCTACTCAATGGTCATACTGTGCCTTTCTAGCCTATGCCCATAACCTTCAATCTTGTCCCTCACTTTTTTTTCGTAAACGAGCCCCTTAGCACCAGCTAGGCCATTGTGGAAACGTTCTTTTTGAAAGTGGTGTATAGTGTAGTTTCAAGCCACTTTTCCACCCTTCCTTTCCATAACTCTGCTTCGTATATATAGGGCCATGAATTGCTTTTCTTCCACCTTTTTTTGCCTTTGCATAGTCTTCTCCTTTTGCTTTCCTTCTTTTGTTTTTTTTACTGTTTTCTCGCAGGCATACAGAGAGGCATAAGTGGCGGTAGGTTGGAAGTGCCACATTGTAGGACCAGCAGGCTTCTACGAGTCCTTATATCCTTAAGATACAAGGAAAAGTCGTTTTTCGTTAGTTTGACAAGGCGTAGGAACACGAAACGCGGTCAAGAAAGTCGTCATTTTGAAGTTTTGTAGTGGGACTGCAGTTCAACAGCTCACACGCGTGTTCTGCTCCCCACCATTATATAGCTTCGTCGAGAAGGTGCTGTTCTGCGAGACGCGCGTTCAATTCTCAGGCTAGGGCAGCCGCACCTCGATAGATCCAAAACGCGAAGAACACCAATGTACTCAGATTTAGGTGGACACTACAGAACTCAAGATATAAAAAACTAAGTCGCTCTTTCCCGCTAGGACGTGTCTAACAATCATATGGCGTTTTTTGAGCATGTGAGAACCAGGATTAGTCATCGTTAGCTCCCAGTCGGCATGCGCAGAGGCGTTATTTAGTAACTTGAAGTAGTAAATGTGAACACATGAATGGTGACCAATGACTATAGAACGTAGAACGTGCGAAGGTGTACCATAAAGTGAGTTACAATGTATCTTAGTATGTTGATGAAGGTTGGCAAGCAGTAAAATGTGCGGGGCGTCTGGGCTTCTTTGCGGACGTGAGCTCCACCGTGACGCTGGCTTCAGTCGCAGGATATTGAATGTTTATCTTTAAAAATGATGGCAGATCCATGAGGTGAATGATGATGAGATTGGGTGAAGCTCCTGGAAGTAATACCGTGAAATTTTCTTCCGTTAATTTGCCCGATAAAAAAAACACCTGGCGTCTTTTGTTAGGCAGCTGGCATCTTCTTTTTGTTTTGCTTTAGAAACATCTGGTGTCTTTTCGTTTTGCTTTTAGCAAACATCTGGCGTCTTTCATTGGTTTATCGCATCAATCAACAGCGTTTTGAACAAAAAATTTTCATTGTTTAATCACACACAGGAGAAATCTCACCAGGCACTACCTTGGAGGTAAACAATGGCTGCTACTGGGAATGAGAGGCAGCAGAAGTCGGCTGTTAACATATCTACTTCTACTAACGTTTCCTGCTGGAACATGCCAATGGCTGCTAATGGTGAATGAGAGACAGGAGCATTCGGCTTTTAAGTAACGCGCATGCCGCGAACTTTTTATTGTTCAACAAAGCACAGGAGAAATCTCCCACCGGCACCACCCTGCAAGTCAAAAATGTAACACTTGTTACACACTACGACTACAACTACGAGGGACGAACGGGTGCCGCTTGAAAAACTTCGCCCCTAAAAAATTAGTTGCGTTTTTTGTAAGGGGTGAAGCTTCTTAGGCCATAGCCTTGTCGGCGTCTGCGTTCATCACGTGGACGTAAGACAGAGATGTGAGCCACAAGAAGTGTTTAACAATATACTAATATAAATCGTGATTGTGACACAACACTATAAAGCCTTTACAAGCACAAACTCTTTACACTAGTCGGTGACTTCAATGTAGACATAATGGACCTTAGGACCTCTGCTCGTCATCATTCAGTTCGTGGGGATGTGTGGACCTTTTTTTTTCCATAATACAAACACGGAGAAATGGACGGATGTCGGAAGAACATAGTTAACAGCACGCAAGCGTATATCCAACGCTTCGCATCAAAGCATGTCAGTTGAGCAACGAGTGGGTGTTTTAAAGGCTCACTCATAACAAAGCGCAATGACGTATTTATTAAACATGAGCGGCAGAATCATCAACCAAGTGTACAGCTGCGTAGGCTCGCGTGTTGCCCTACGGAAGCGTAGTGGGCCTGCCCTTCGCTGGTTCGCAAAATGAATAATAACATGGTGCAGTGGGCATTGTCTTGCAGTAGGAATTCAATGATATATTAAAATGGCCAATGTTACGCGTGCAGGCGTCTGCTTTCTTGCAGCATCATTGCGGCATGCACCTCGAACCAAAACAGGGAAACAATTCAAACGCCGATGCACACGAGGGGTCCGATAACGCGATCCTTAACTCACACCAACGCATTTCGATAGTTGTTTGGTTACATGACTGACTTATGTGTCCCAGATGATATGCTTATGGAAGTATATACACCCAATGTTTCATGCAATCTATAACTTCCAAAGCTGACTGGCCTCGTGTGTCATTCCACGTCCAGAGGGTTGGGCGAGAAAAACACTTCTGATGTTGTCGCATTAATTAACATGTAAAGAATTAGAATCACTTCTGCTTAACTGTTTGAAGCAGTTATTAAAATCTGACCAGAGAGTTTGAAGCTCTGTATTAGCAAACAAAAGTTACGTCTTGTGCATATATGACGTACTTTGGTTGGCTACTAACTTCAACAATACAGTTTACGAATAAGTTCAACATGATCATATGTTGCTTTCAACACGTAAAACGCCGCATAGTTATATTACATATCGAGGAGTTACAACGTATGGGATGGATTTATTTATTCACACCGAAGTTTTCTGCTTTTGATTTACGTAAGTGTTGCGCAAGTTGAAACATTCCATCAACGACTGAGAGTCCCACGTAACACAGGGCTGTGGTTACTCAACTTTTGCCAAACAATTGTTTCTCTGCAACCTCACACAGTTTTTGTCACACAGTGTTTTATCCTACATTACATCACGTATTCACAACTTCACGTCGCATCAGGATAAACTGACGCCTTGGCAGCCTTCGCGCAAGTCGCCCAAACAACCTTTTGGCACGCCTTTGTGTGGGTCGCTGTCAAGGTCACGCGTGCACGGCGGCATGATGGAAGACAGTAATGACGTCACTCAACACCTCCCCCAATCTCCAACCCCGTTCCTTGTTTACTTTCTCCGTCCTGTTACCCCAACTTGGGACACGTTGTGCGCTTCCGCGTCCGTGACGGCGCCGTAAGTTTACCCTTCGTTGCAAAGCGTTCGAGGAACGGCACCCTTTCACCACGCTAAGAGCGTTTGAACACGCTGTGGCTTATTTTTAGTCAGACCACGAAGTAGTAAATCTAAACAAAATATAAACACCCACCTCTCTCTCCTTTCCCTCTTGTCCTACACGTATCGCAGACGCGCTATATATAGGCGCAAGTTGCGGGGGTTGGGGAGCACACCCAGAAGCCCGCTTGAAAGTGTAGTCGCATTGTGAGCGACAGATGGCGCTTACCGAAGCTGCATAATCCTACGGCGGATGACTGGAAGACGGCCTTCCCTGCGGCGTCGTCGGTTATACCTGCGTTTCATCATCCATCACCTTCATCAGGCGGCGGGCGAAGGCTTGCATTCTAGTCTCCCCTTTCGTCGTAGTTCGGTGACAACGGCAGCGAGCTTTTTCTCTGCATAAAGCCAACGCGGATGACGTACGTTAATTGTGCGGAAGCGTCTCTTCCCGCGAAAAAACAACTTTTCACAAGCGCTTCTCGACCCGATGCGCCGAGAGGATGACAGTTCTTCGTCGAAAGAGGAAAATTGTGCATTTTGTGACGTGTCATTGGTTGTGACTTGGACTTATACCACGAAGGTACGTTCCATGCACGTATAAGCGTATGCATAGACTTTACGTGTTCATCGCGAAATGGCATATCCTCGCTGTAATCCGTTCTGCTGCTCGCAAATTTTTAGGTGGCGTGAGTTGCTGCTGTCATAGTGACGAGTGGTCACTAGTGATTGTAGAAACGTTTCGTGCGCATGCGACGTGGCAGACATAAATTGTTAACGTAAACTTATCACGAGGCCAAGCGTTTATCATTAAAATACGAGCTAAAGTATTCATGGTTAAGGTGATTTATTCATGAGACCAACAATTTATCGTTAGGTTAACTCATCATGAGCCCAAGTATGAATTGTTAAGACAAGGTTACATAGCTAAGAAAATCTTGTCAGAGCCGATTGAGCGTTACGCCACCTACGCCACTTAATTTGTTCACGTTTCGTTGTGAATAGGTCTTGCGGAGCCCGATGAAAGATTTTCAAGGGTGGCGTCAAAGCGTTCTTCGCACGCTGTTTAGTTAGCTTGACACTTCGCACAGCACTCCTTGCGTTGTAGCGCTGTTGTTCTTCCTGGAATAATTATTTCGCGGCTGCACTGCTTACAGGAGCCGGTGAAAAACTATCTGCCAAATTTAGCCAGACTCGCACAGTTTTAGAGAGCTATAGGAGTTCGTGAAGTGCCCCAGTACGGCCAGCACCATTTGCGCATGCAAAGTGTAAATTGCGCTTATGCTGTATAGACAACGCACGTGTTGCCTGTAACCACTAATTAAATACCAATTAACGCGGTTGTATAAGACAGTTTTGGAATAGAGACGTCAGTCGTTTTGGGGCGCAAAAAAATAGCGTCGAGGCCACTGCGCATGTGCGAGACACAAATAGGGTTTGGGTTTTGCGTTGGAGACGCTACTTGTAAAATTTAGCGGCAGCACAAAAGCCTGTCTGAAAAGCTTTGCGTGAAACAAACGCGACGGCACCCACAGAAGGGACAGCTCTAAGTCAACAATAGAGTGACCTGTAATAGGGGCAGTGTCCAAAGCACCGCAGACACTATTCAAAAACTCTTAGATCCGGCATCTGCCAAAGGGAGAACACACTAAGAACTTTGGGGCCCCAAACTTTTTAAGCTCCTATTCAAAAATACCCTGTTGAAGAACCGACAATGTTGCGCACTCAACCAAGTTTTAGTAATGATTCATTTCCGCTTTGAAATTGTTTCTGTGTACCTGCAGAGCAGGGCGGAAAAAGAACAGCCCAGCAAAATTAGACACTCGAGTGTGCGTGTCAAGAGATGGAATGCGCGCAGCAGAAAGAGAGCAGTCGCTTCATGTTGTAGAGGAAGAGGAAGTGACGCAAGGTTTCGTCGTGATATGTCTACATGATAAATCAACGGGCATTTTTTGTCATGAAGTAACATGTATTGTTCACCTGACGTGAGGTAGCAGTGCCCAAGCAAATATGAATGAATCGAACATTCGTATTTGACACTACTGAAGCTGGCAACCGTGCAAGTAGGGATTACATGGATGAACCACATGATTAACCGAGTTGCCAAGTGTCACTTTGCGGGAGCTATAGATGGTTAAGTTAAGCATTGATTTATTTAATAACTTGTTTCATCATAGCCCACACTGATAGCTGGAGAAGAAGAGAAAGTATTTGTTGCACCACGTACACCACAAACTTCGGTGCTCGATCTCGGTATAATTAGCATTGTTAATAGGACCCATAAATCCACACACACAAACACGCACGTACACGCGCACACACGCACGCACACACACACGCACACACACACACACACTAGAGGAGAGAGATCCAAAAATAAGAAAGTTGGTAGAGAAAAAGAGAGCACTAGCAAGTCTGCGCAAGCATCAGGAACGCAGCTGACGGGAAGCAAAATATCACCCGTGCGGCAAATCGGGCCGATGTCAGCTGCGTTCAGTAAATTATTTTTCTCAGGAAGGGACAGCTGTCAAGATTTCAGCGGCAGGATGTGCCGCGTTTCTATCTGCTCTTTGCAAATGAGGACAATCACGCGCGGGCGCACGATTTCTTTTTTTTCCAATTAAGCTAAATACTCCACATTAAAGGGGTTTTCGATGAGGAGGCGCGTCATTGATATAATTATGCGAACCAGGCGGCGCATGCTGGTTATGGATTTAGTCCTTCGTTCATATGATTAAGCATGATTAACTCGTAGGATGTTCTGCTGCCGTTTAGGTTTAATCTTTCGACGTCAGGTTCTATAGCTTTCTCGTTATTTTCTTTGTTTAGGAAGGATCGAGGGAGACGCTCGGAGCCATCTCGTTAATTGCTGAGAAGGACGCAGGCGGGTATCTTGTCGTTCTCGCGGGATCGAACGCTTCGAATTAGGACGCCTTAACATGCCCCCCAGCCTCGTTCGCTTTCTCGCTGCGACGCGTGCTTAATGACCAATAATTGATGTTGAGTGGGTTGCATGAGGTTATTGGGAACGCGCGGATATCAATCTCTGCACTTGATTATCAGATTCTACCGGAGCATCTGATGACCCGACCAAACGGTCGCTCGCCGCCCTGCGCCTAGCTGGCTCAGCGCGCGTCCGGCTCCTTGCCTAAGCCTGGTGCAGCGTCCTCACGCTACTCCCATCGTCGTGCCCAGCCGCCCACCGGAATGGAGTGCGTCGTAGAAGGTCATACCATCTCTGAAGAGGAGTGGTCCGACGATTCTGGCAATCGCCCGGCTATCGTGCCCAGGAACGACGCCGACGGGAACTTCAAAACCAAGGCAAGCCGTTCTTCAACCGTGTACGTCGGAGAATGCCCGCGCCGCTGTGCCGGAACGCCAACCCAGGTCAAGTCACGTCCGCCTCGGTTACGTCGGCGGGCACCACTCCCCCGATTGCCGCAAGACTCCATTCATATAGTAGGACGTCCAAGAACGCCCATCGACTTGACGAAAGTGCCGCCGTGGCAATTGCACGACGCCCTGCTCAAGGCAGCTTCACTGCCAGATCAGCCACCAGCAAGTCGGGATCGCCTTCGGACGCACCCCACCAATAATACCTTTACCTTGAGCGTGATCGACTCGCAACGCGCCCAAGCCTACCTTCGAGTGAAGTCGATTACCATCGGCGCTGCTACTATCGAGCTCCATGTCTACGCCCCCCTCCAGACGACGCCATACGAGGCATCATGTTCCATGCATACGATGACTTCTCAGACGAAGAGATTTTGGCAGACCTACAAGCCAGCAACCCCACCATTCCTATCGTGAGTGGAAGACGCTTGGGCCAAACTAGGCACGTCGTGGTTGCACTAATGACGCCAAACCTTCCAAAGTGGATATTCTACCACGGAACCGACATCAGGCTGTACCCGTTCTACAACAGGGTGGAATCGTGTTTTAACTGCCGCAAGGTTGGTCACCGCACGGATGTTTGCCCGATGCCACGTAAGCAGCGGTGCCGCCGTTGCGGAGAGGAACACCCCACACCAGGACAGGGCGAAACACCCGCATGCACGCCACGCTGCATCGTCTGCAATGGTGCACACAACACCGGCAGCTCAAACTGCAAGTATCGCTTTATCAAGAAGGCGCCACCCACCCCGCAATCGAAGCAAGAAGCGCAAGAACCTTCGTCGAACATCCATCGCAACCCATCTCACAGTGGCTCCTCCAGCAGACGCTCACCATCATCTCGAGACCATTCTGCATCTCTCCCACCACTCGGGAACAGCAGCAACCAGCAGCAGCGCCGAGAGAGCAGGTCCCCATCCCACACCCGGCGCTCAGGGTCTCGTTCAGCTAAACGACGTGGCAGCAGGTGTCGATCCCACAGCAGGCGCCCGAGGTCACGCTCAGCCCAACGACGAGACAGCAGGCCCTCATCTCACTCAAGGTCCAAATCAGCCAGGCGCAGCCCATCGGTGTCTCGTTCATCCAGTCGAGGTCCCGGAGAAGCGTCCAAGTCGGTGGCCTGGCAGCGGGGCGCCCCGGCATCACTACTATTTTCCGATTCACAGGTGAGGGAGTTGGCAAAGGAGAATTCTGCCCTTAAGGCTCAAATCTCGGCCCAGCAGTCCCAGATAGCTAAATTGACTAGCTACATCCAGTCTCTAGAAGCCAAAATAGATAGAGCACTCAGTATCGACAAACAAACTACACCCACATCATCCGAAACACAAGACGCACATCCGAACCCCCTGGCACCAAACCCGGCGTTATCGCCAGTTCCTCAACTTCAGAACGCTAATAAACGCAAGGCAGCTACACCCACAGCTTCACTCCACGCAGACGCCGACATCACTACAAAAGTAACGACGGCAGTCACGGCAGCCATCTCAACGCTGAAATCCGATCTGAACGCTGAAATAGAAACGCGCTTTAATGCGATCCACCAAACCATCCGGGAAACAACCACCTCATTCGCCGTGTTAAAGAGCTCGACCGAAGCTGCACTGGCCGACTTCAGTGTGCAGTTGGCCATCCACCGCACACCATCCAATAGCCGGCAAACACCGGCCCCTACGCCAATAACATAGTCATGGCGGCTCTCCACACGCTCACCGTCTGGCAGTGGAACTGCAGGAGCTTCCGCAATAAGAAGGGCCATCTGCAGCAACATATCCAGCATATTCAAAACCATGCACCAAATGGGGAATGTTCGCCGGACATCATAGTTTTACAAGAAACGAACACTGCCGCTCAACTGCCCGGATACGCATCATATAATCAGAAAATAGACATATCCGCGAGCGCACAATGCCACACTGCCATCTTAGTACACAAGAATGTCACAGCCATTCAACATGAAATTGAGGGTACGAGTATTCATCACACACTGGTGGAAATTATACCAAAAAGACGAGGAGACAAGCCACTCTTCATTTTAAATATATACAGCCCTCCAAGAGATACAGCTGCGGATCTACCTTACATCTTTCGGAAAGCAACAAATCTGGCGAAGGATGCAAAGCTGCTCGTACTAGGCGATTTTAACGCAAAACATCCCGAATGGGGATACCCGAAATCCAACCCCAAGGGTCG